TTAAGCCTAATTCTTTATATTTGTCTCAAAATTAATCTTGTTTTTATTTTTATGGCTTTTGTTTAACATTCACTTGTATTTTCATTTTGGTTGAAATAAAAGTCACGCTAATCGAAAAAATATTTTTAAATTTAATTACAAAAACTAAGGAAAACATTAACACGATACTGATTAAGTGGACATGCAAGTACCGGTTAACCGCGGTTTACCAGAAAATACCGCCGGTTTTTATCCGGTATTCGCGACATAGGAAATAAATAATTTTTTTAAATTTAATTTAATATGATTTGTATGACTATGTCGGTAAGATAAATCTGTTTACATTAAAACGTTTCTTATTGAATTTGACATACCAATTGGTTAGCATATCAATGTACTTAATAAGACAAGATACCACTGTATACAAACGATAAGGTAAAATAAATATCAAATTCTTCAGAGATAGTTATCTTGAATGATAATATCAGTTGATGATTACAACAAAATTGAAGTTGTATCGTAACAAAGATTTTATTTCCGGTTGAATATGAATCATGTCTTGTGTACAGAGAAGCAGATCATTAAAAATACAGAAATTTTTTTCACATTATTTATACTTAAGTATATTAGATAAATATCAACATTATCTTTAAAGTTATCAAATACTAAAATACATAAAACTTTTCATCAAATGAGAAATAAAGTATATAAAAGAAGTTTAAAAGAAGTGTTTCAAAAATTCGAATGTACCCAGCTCAAAGTTTCCGGCCTCCGGATCCTTCAGGAACCGACCGAAAACGATGTAATTTCCGGCCTTCTCTCGCCGTTTCTGGTGTTTTTCCGGCCGGAAAAGTACCTGGAACATGGAAGCAGTATTCCGGCCGAAAATGTCTCGTACCCGGAAATTGAATGTTCCGCTAATTTCCCGCAACCGGAAATCAACGGGAAAAAACCCGGAACCCACCGGAAACAGGCAAGGAGCGCACCATTTCCCACCGGAAAAACATGAAAACCTGTTCGAAACCTCTTTGAAAGATCTTTGAAATACTATGGAAGATCTTTCAAAGGTCTTTCAAACACTTTGAACGATACTTTTCCCATACACCTCAGGTTGATGCCGCCTTGCGCATGTAAGTCGCAACAATCAAAAGACATGACTGTCGCCGAGATTGCGCACGACGATAATTTCCTGGGAGCTGTTGTCAGACGACTATCTGAGTTTAGAAAAATAAAATATGCCAGAAATCTTTTCTCGCATACCTTATACTAAAAGCTATGATTGAGTCTGAGACCACCAGGTTCTTCACTACAAAGATTTGGTATGTACACTGACGTTGGTAAAAGTGAATGAGAAAATTTGAATCCGCATCCTCCTTAGAAATCAGAATGAAATACCACGCTTTGGTATCTCGTGGGTATGGAAGAGTGCTTGCTGTAGGGCACGGCATCAACTCTATCTTTACATATTACGCGTAGGGATTGTGAAGTCTACGAAAGATCTCAGAAGTTGTAGAAAGATCTTTGAAAGGATTTTCAGAGAGTTTGCAACCTGTCCTAAAGATATTTGAAAGATCTTTCAAAGTCTTCGAAAAGTCTTTGAAAAATCTTTCAAGGTCTGAGAAAGACATTTCAAGGTCGTTGAAAGTTCTCCTAAGATCTAAAGAACTGCTCGAAAGTTTGTTTGAAATATGTTTCGATGTATTTGAAAGATGCTTGAAAGTCGTAGAAAGATGTTTAAAGGTCGTTGAGAAATCTTTTAAAGTCTTGGAAAAGCCTTTGAAAGATGTTTCAATGTCTGAGAATGTCTCTGAAAGTTTTAGAAAGACGTTTGAAGGTCGTTGAAAGATCTTATCAAAGTGTCAGGAAGTCTTCGAAACATGTTTGAAACATGTTTCGAAGTATTGCAAAGATGTTTGAAAGTCGTAGAAAGACCTTTGACAGGTGTTTCTAAGATTTTTCAATGTGTTGGAAAGATCTTTGAAAGTCTTGGAATGATTTTACAGTCTCATAAAAATATTTGAAAGTTGTTTTAAAATTTTCGAAAAGGTTTTCAACGATCTTTCAATCTCTGACGCAGCTTCAGAAAGACATTTGAAGGTCGTTGAATCATCTTTCAAAGTCGCAGTAAGTCTTTGAAAGATGCTCGACAAATGTTTGAAAGTCTTTGAAAGATGTTTGAAAGTGGTAGAAAGATGTTTGAAAGTCTTCGAAAGATTTTGCAAAGTCTCATAAAGATATTTCAATGGTCTTTTAAAATTTTTGAAAGGGTTTTAAAAGATCTTTCAATCGGTGGAAAGTTTCAGAAAGACGTTCGAAGGTCGTTGAAAGATCTTTCAAAGTCGCAGTAAGTCTTGGAAGGATGTTAGGAAGTCGTTGCAAGATCTTTCAAAGTATCAGGAAGTCTTCCAAATATGTTTGACAGGTCTTCTAAAGTCTCAGGATGTCTTCTGAAGTTGTTTAAAAAAATTTTCAAAGTGTTCGAAAGGGTTTTGAAAGCTGTCTCAAAGTCTTTCAAAGTCTTTGAATGATCTTTGAAATATCTTTCAAAGGTCTTTGAAAGACCGGATATGGGCTTTGTCAACGAAACGGAAACAGGTGGGATATAACCGGATCCTTGATCGGGACGAAACTCCGGAACTACAGTTTGGAACCGTACCGAAAACGGCGGGTATGCAACTCGGATCTGGTTAAAGTGATTAAGAACAGGAAACTTAGTCGGCAACCACACCGGAAACGACAGCCGTATCCGAAGATCTCACTCGGAGGTAGGAATGAGCGGGAACTAAGCAGGATCCAGATACTGGATCCGGTTTGGGAACACTGTTTCCAGGAATTGGCCGGAATTTCACGGGATCCGGCCGTTTCCCGCCGTTTGACCTGGGTATTTTTTACTTAGATGTAATGATGTTAACAATTGCTTGTAATTAAAATAATATTGAATTTAAAGTTGTTTGGAATGTTTTTGATATAAACTTTCACACTAATAGTCATATAGAATGTCTATAAATATTTGTCTCATTTGTTGATCTATTATCTTTTATCTTTTTATTCTTAGAATTGAATAAGAGGTTCAATAACAGAATCTTAAGACTTTTTTCAGATGTATAAAACTTGTCGAAAACTTGAGCAGAATAGAAGTTGTCTTTGAATACTAATACAGAATTTGATCGAGATTAGTTGACGAAAACTATCGTAGTCCACACTTTTTAAACTGTTATAAATGGATTTCTGATTTGCATTACAAAAAAGAACAATCAAAATAAAAAAAATGTATTTTACAGAATTATTGTTACCTATTATCAATGTTGCTGAAAATATAGGAAAAAAACTTTTATTAGTAGACATACACATTGTGTTATGAAATTTTGTAAAAAAAATTTGACTGATATATAATTAATTGTATAGTCAATAGAGTGGTCTTTTTATTATATTCCTTATTTGTTGTGATATGTGTATTTCTAATTTTCTAAGTATATCCAATCATTTACAGGCTGATAATGATGTATCTATATGGTATATATATATATATTACTAATTAATTAAGATCATTCTTTCTATTCAAATGAAATATTAGATTTATCAAATGAACTAGTTGGCTTTAAAATTGTTTCGAATAGATTTTATATCGAAGAAAAAAAATGATCTTATCATCCATTTCTTGTTTAACGAAATCAATTAATGTTTGTATACAAGATACAATCGATGTATCCATAACATTTGTATTTGATGACTTTAATCAATATAAACGTGGTTCGTCATAAATAAAATTAACTTTTTTTATCAATTTTTAATTGAGATTATATGATTGGATAAGAAGACATAATGCATTATACCAAGGTAAAAATACATCATTAAGAATACCTCAAACATCTTCTTCTTTAAATTTAAGTGATTCATCACGTACAACCGGTGATACTATTTAAAAAGTCTGCAAAAAAAACACAAAGAAATAATATAGAATAATAAATTTCAATAATATAAAATAAATAGAACCTAAGTGTATCAGCACAATATTCATAAAAGATTTTAGTTGGACCAAGTGAATTTTTTTTGTTTTTACATTTTTTCTCCATTACTTGATAAAAGAATTCTGTTAGCAACAAGTAACGCTCGTCCGTGTGACTCGCTTGACCCTCGACTGTGTATTCTGCTCTTTCGATGTTATATACTGCTTTACAGTTTTCAACAAAACTAGTATCCAACGTTTCATAAGGGTGGGTAAATTTGTGAGAACGTTGATATTTGCGTCAATTTCGTTGTGTACGATGGTACGTGGGTCCATGTGATGATTTTTGTTATAAACTGATCTAATCAAATCGATATCCACACATCGATACTCAACAGAAATCTAAATGAACTACACTACAGTGGCAGTATCCACACCCACTCTACAAAGGAGATTATATTCAATTTTCTGAGAGATCATGAAGCAAAATGCATTGGTGACACTACTGTGAAGACGTGCCATAATACTCCTTGAAAACTATACTAAAAATCCGTATACTTACTAGCACATTAGCCTCAAGGGAGAAATTACAGTACCTGAGCACCCAAAATCATTGAAAGGTGCTGAAAAAGTGCGGAGGGTACTATCTGTGCGGTTTCCCTCTTGTACAGGGGCACCCAGAGATTTGCTAACGAAGGTGTCCGCCAGCAGAGAAAATCCTTGATCATGTGACTATCTTTTAGCCCTACACTTCTCTCCAGGCATTGTTCTCCAATAGAGATGCTTGGGCACCTTCCTGGGCTACGCTCCTGCCTAGATGTTACTTCATTATTTAATTATTTCGTTCGTTGATTTATTTATGTTCTTACTTTCAGTTAGAATTTAAACGATCCAATAAGTAAATTAAGTATACTTATTCATTTAATCTAACTGTAAGAATACCCCGAAACAGAAAATATATGACTTAAGTTTGTAAAATGGAATACATTTTAATATTAACTAAATACTATCATTAAACAACAGGAAATTAAAAATAGACGAATGTTTTGCAATTCTAATATGACAGTTATTATATTTAAAGTCGTGTATAAATAACTTTAGCATCATTATCGTTATCCAGTTTAGGTAATTCTACATGTAATACTAATTGACCAAGGCATTTATATTTTCTGTTCTGTCGATGGAAATCACGAATATCTCTCAAAGATTTTTTACTTTTGAGTAAAACTCCTGGATTTTCATTCTTCGCTCGTGCATGATAATATTCAAGTATAGAACCATTTTTACGTGGTATAGAATCGCGATATTCTGGTATTTGATCAATAAGATATTCAACAAATGTTCGACAATTATTTAATAATACATGATAATTTGGATATTTCTTTGTATAATCATGTGCTGATCGAATAAGATGTTCAAATGCCGTTGGTGATTTTGTTTCACCAAGGAATTCAATTTTAGATATTGAATTAGGTACTGCATCTAATTCAGCAATATTTAATTTCATGCTTTTACGAATACCTTTTGCATGATCACCAATATCAACTTCAATTAATACCATAGGATGTTCATCAGTACATGCTATTAAAGATGTATGACTGGCACGAGCGTCTCCCCATAAATAAGTTTCAATTGATTGTCCTAATATACCAATATGATCTCCCATTTCACGCCAACAAAGAAACAGATGCATGGTAATGATCGTACGATGTTTTCAATAGTGTGTGAAAAAAAAGAATGACGTAGATTTCGTTCGTTCTCTTTTATGTATGAGATGTATGACTCAGTGTCAATACGTCATTATACTTCAATCACACATATATAGAAAAGCAATCGTATCACACGTTAAAAATAATCGAATTATAATTTATACATAGATACTATCCTTCAATACAATGTATGCAAACATACACATACGAAAGCCTGACATAGAAAATAAAATCACAACTGAAGTACGTCGTGTATTTTTGGGTTGTTGGAGAACACAAAAAAAAGAATAAACGAACAAAAATAATAGTAAAGAACCTTTTGTTTTAAATTGTTTATATTTGTAAACAAGAGTAATAAAATGATACATAACATGAATTTCATCAGATTGACTTTTGTTGTAGACTTTCAGCAACTGTTTGAAGGGTATCTACTCACATTAAATAGAGCTATGACCCTAATTTTCTGGTGCGTGACCGTATTAATCATAGGAATCAGCATATGGATTTTATTTCAAACAGATAAATGCTATCGAAAATCTTCTGAGAAAATCAGTTTGATAATATTCCTGTTTCCTAAATCAAGGAATAAAATAAAATAAGAAAATATTACATGCTGTGCTTATTAAAATCAATAATCGACTAATTCTTATAACAACAGAATCTAAACTGTGTTCGTTTCGATTGCTTAATATTAGTATTGGAAAAAAAGTTCTTCAGCAGAAAAAAGAACAAAATATTTATTTCATAAGAAAAAGATTCAAATGAAAATTTATATGATATATTAACTCATACAATAGCTTCTCTGTAAATAAATGTAAATGCAAGAAGACATGCCAAAGCAAAATCAGAATCGATGAAAAAAATGTTTTAGAAATTTTTTGAAAGATTAGGTATACTTGAGCAGATAGTCAACCAATATATGTTCATTGATTAAATTTCTAGATTATTGACACAAAGAACTGACAAAAGAATTTATAATTGGATCAATTGAAGAGATCATGAAGAACATTCCAGAGTAGGTGTAACCATCTACTAGTAAAGATACTATTTGTGGATGTGATTGTGGATAAAATGAATTAACCTTTTCATATTTACCAATCATACAGAAAAACCAAGGAATCCGCTATAGTCTGGAGTGTATCGTAAAGCTTTCAGCGAAAAACATGCAACTCGAGAAGAAACATACATCTTACAACAGCTTGTTAATACTTATGGGAATTGTTTTCTTTCAGTCATCAAGCAAAGTACACTCCTTGAAAGGCATTGTCCGAAAGAGGAGACGCAAAATAGGACCATATGCTCAATCGATATCTCTGATTTCGATGAAACTGTGCCTGTATGTAGCTCCAAGTAAGATGTGCAAATACCAAAAATTTTAGCCTCTAAGACTGTTCCCTTATCCAGATATTGAAACCACAATAGACACATCTTTAGGAAAAAAACGACAACCGTCAATGCAGTTCATTCATTGTATATTTCTCCATTTTTCAACAACTACATTTTCAGTCATATGGAGGAAGTTCATAGATTCTAGATATATTCTCTATCTTATGAGCAGTCTATGAACTTCCACTTCGAAACTAAGTACTAATGGGTCCTAGCTATCAGTAACAATTTTGATATCTTTAAACTTTCGCTTTTGACCTGAGCAACATTTTTTTCTGGTGTATATGTGAGTGAGTTTGAGTAAAATTACGATTCACCTTCAAAAAAGCTCCTCGGTCGATGATCGTCGATTTGTTCAAGTTTTGTGTGTATCTATAGTGGAAATATTTGATGAATATCTACGAAAACGGTTCAAAAAAGTATTGTGTCCTTCTCGAGATATTCAGAATTGTTATCTGAATTTTACTCGTCATACAGGTAGGAAGAAAATTGCACAGTATGTTTGAAAAATATTGTTTGATGGTTGAAAAAAATCATTTTTTGGGGATATGATAACTAAACGCCAAAAAAACAAGTTAATATTCAGAGGTTTTGATTGTCAGAACTTCAATTTCGAAGAAAATAAAAACCATATTTGGAGTTCATAGAAAAACCTGCATTGAATTGTATACTTAATACTTGAAACAAATTTTCGTCAAATTTCAATCGTTACAACTCTCTAGTGTTATTTTCGGCAACTTGGACATATGCTTCCCGTAAGGTCGATACTTGGCAAAAATTGATTTCGAACAGAGCTGGGTAAGTACGGATTTTCTCGAATACCAGTACACACACGAGTACAGCAAAAAGAACACTCAAGAACGGAAATTTCGAATGCGGTTAATTGGGAACATGTGTTCAACGTTGTGACAATGTTAATTATCAAATATCAATGGGTGAACGTTTACATAAGACCGAGATCAGAAGAAATTAGCTGTCTTCTTCAACTTTGAAGCACAGAAATAGGAACCGATTACTGCTTTCATTTAACACATTTTATCTAAAAGGACGGAAACAGATAAGACCACTTTCCAGTTCTCAACATATTTTAGTTTTTCTGTGTTCAAATCAATTTAGTGGCAACAACCGATGACATTGCAAAGCTTTATATTGCAACCGCTCCTCGATTCATTGTTCGAATCACACTCGTACTTCTTTATGACGTCAAGAAAAACTTGATCATCCTTCTAGAAGGTACGAATATAATTTGAACAATTGACCGAGAGACGTCGTGACCAAACACAAGCTTTGCTCAAATTTCGAATTGCTGGTGTCTTTTGCGCACAAAATACCGAACAATAACAGTTTTTCTGTACGATTGGCAGTATAGTCAACTTTTCAATAATTCGTGCATTTTAACTCATATTTCTATGAGAAGTACTTGAGCATGAGATGTGTTGAGACTAAAAATTTGAATCCCAACAGTTATGTCCCTGATGAGATATGGCTGTCACAAACAGTACAAAAATAATGAAAAACTGTGCTTTTTGTAATGACAGTGCTTCCAAAATATTTTGAATATCTCAAAAATGGGACAATATTCGCTTGAATGGCTTTCATAGAAATTCATCAAACACTTTCATCCATAGACATACACAAAATTTAGTTCAGTAGGTGATCATCAACTGAGCAGCTTTTCTGGAGATGGATGGGCATTTCATCTAAACTGTGTCATATATACACCAGAAAAGATTATTGCTAGGGTCAAAAGCAAAAGCCTAAAGTTTTAAAAATTGTTGCTGATAGCTAGCGGCCATTGATACTTAATTCCAAAGCAGAAGTTGATAGACCACTCACAAGCGAGAAGAATCTTGGTCACAAAGTAGAGGATATGTCTGGAATCTATGAAATTCTTTTATACTCTTTAACAAACAGAAAAGTAGTTTTAAGTTTGTCAGTAGGTAGTGTACCTCTGCTGGTATACAGTCACCAAATGTCATGACTAAAAAAATTGTTGTTAAACAATGGGCAAATGCGCAATGAATGAGTACTGTATTGATTATCGTAATTTGTTTCCTCAAGATACCTCTATTGTGAGTTCAATATCGAAACTAGGAAAGAAGTTTAACAGCTAAAATTTTTGGCGTTTTTCCATCTCATTCGAAGTTACATATATTGAATATTTTATCAAATTATTGACATCGATTGAGCAGGATCGACTACGCCTATCGTGCAATGCCTATGTAATATACTTTTCATTGTGTTTTACCACTTCACTGTTTCTTACAAAGAGTGAAACACTAATCGACATGAAGAATATATATCGCAACTTTTAGAATGAAGAAATATCATCTTATTAGCAACATATAATTCACATTTATTTTGAACTATGCTTTCAAACTCGTCTCTGCTTTTAAAACTTGATTATCAAAAATATATTTTTATCTAAAATTTAAAATTTTTTCTACTATTAACCTAGTATCAAAATGAAAACAGTATCACACATATATACTATCAGATTTTTGAAAGTATTGTTGAATACTTCTTGAATTTCGTATCATTATTTATTTACGATTCATTTTTCCACTGAAATTACTACCAATCATGAAAACAAAGTTCTTCCACATGCATTAAAAAAAAAGAAAAACAACTTTGAATCGATTGATAACTCGTACATATAAAAATATAGAGATTTTTTTATTAAGATATATATAGCTTAGGTTTCAACAATAGAATAGATTTTAATATTAGTTAAATCCAATCGTTGATCAAAAGGACGTTAAAAGAAGATGAATATTTTATAATCTTCATAAGACATTTTTCATATTCAAAATCGTGTTTCAATAATTTGAACATAATTATCATTATTCAGTTTAGGTAATTCAATGTGTAATACTAATTCACTAGCATATTTATATTGTCTATTTTTTTTGTGTAAAACAATCGTATCTTTCAAAAATTCTTTACTTTTGGCGATTACACCTGGATTTTCTTGTTTAGCTTGTGCATGATAATATTCAAGTATAGAACCCTTTCTTCGTGGTATAGATTCGTGAAATTCTGGTATTTGATCAATAAGATATTCAACAAATGTTCGACAATTATTTAATAATACATGATAATTTGGATATTTCTTTATATATTCATGTGCTGATCGAATAAGATGTTCGAATGCCGTTGTTGATTTTGTTTCACCGATGAATTCAATTTTACATATTATATCAGGTACATCATCTAATTCAACAATATTTAATTTCATGCTTTTACGAATACCTTTTGCATGATCACCAATATCGATTTCAATTAATACCATAGGATGTTCATCAGTACATGCTATTAAAAATGTATGACTGGCACGAGCGTCTCCCCATAAATAAGTTTCAATTGAGTGTCCTAATATACCAATATGATCTCCCATTTCACGCCAACAAAGAAACAGATGCATGGTAATGATAGTGTGATGTTTTCAATAGAATGTGAGAAAAAAAACGACGTGGGTTTCGTTCTTTTCTTTTTACATATAGGCAGATACAGGATTCAATGTCAATACACCACCAAGCTTCGATTATATGCGCATGAAAAGCAATAATATTACGCGTCAAAATATCCTAATTGTGATTAATGCATAGATACCATCAATCCATGAAATATATGCAAGCAAATAAATACGAAAGCCTAACATAGCAGAAAAGTAAAGAAAAAAAATGAAGATAAAGAAGTTTTTGTATTGAATTGTCACTTTTGTAAAAGAAATCAAACGAATAACAGATAACTTGAATTTCACCATATTGGTTTTATCCGTAGACTTTCAGTAAGTGTCGAAAGTAGCGTACTGCGTGATCAACAGGACAACGGTTACAAACTGTTTCTTCATGAGCGTGATCATATTCAAAAATATCAAACATACAGAACACTATTTGGAAGAGTATCTCCTCACATTAAATATGGCTTTTGTCTTGACCTAGTAGCTTTTTAACATGTTAATCAGGGCAATTAATAAAGGGACTGTTTTTAAAGAAGATCAATGCTATCAAAAGTCTACTTCAGAAATCAGTACAGTATAATTCGTATTTCTCAAAACGAAAAATAAATTATAATAACAAAGGAATGCATGCCATGCGCTTACTTAAATCAATAAACGACCAACTCTTATTAAAAAGAAATCAATATTCATTCAGTTTTATTGTTTAACATTAATATCAAAAGAAGCTATTCTTTAACAAAAATAAAAACAAAGCTTTTATTTCAGGAAAAAGATAACAATAAAAGTTTATATGATACAGTCAATCACAAAATCATAGACAGAGTGAACCGACTAAGATTATTATTATTTGATCAATTTAAGAGATTTTGAAAGACATTTGAGAACAGCTGTATCCATCTAGTAAAGATGGTATATGTTTGAATCGTCATGAAACTCGTGCGTCAATCGATGAGTATTATTACATTAATGCGATGAGAAGCATTATAACGTTGTGAAAATTGTTTATATAATAAAGATCTCCTGTTCATGCTATTTAAAATAAAATTATTCAAATCGAAAAGCAAGGTGTTGTGAAGTATGGAGATCAACGAAAGTATTTTCATGCAGTAAATCAAATTGAATAATTTTAGAATGACTTAAAATATCTTTTCCATAAAAAAATTTATGATTGGTGCTCCAACGACATAGTACGAAGTGAATTGCAATGGTTTACATAAAAAATAGCATAGAATAGGCGTCTCATTTTCAAACTGTCTATAACGCGGAAAGAGAGCACGATTTGTTATCTCATATTGAATAAAAGAGAGAGAGAGAGAGAGAGAGAATATTTTTTATTTACTGCTACAGTTTTTAACTATGGTATATATATAGTTATGTAGCAGGTGTGTATAGAATTTAGTTGAAATTAGAATCGTATTTTATAATAAAAGATATTGTATGTGTATAAACAAAACTAGTTGTTTATTAGTTAATATGATTTAATTGTATTTTAATGTTTACTTAGTAACAGAGATATATTTAGATTGATATTCTATATATAAACAATAATGACTTGACTATATTCATTGTGTTCAATAAAATATGTACTTCGAAAATATTTTTTTATTTTTAAGTCATAGAGACATTAAATGATTGGTGAACATTGATAAGTTAATTTATATATATTTTTTTATCTGGAGGACATAGGGACATTGCATGATTAATGAAAGTTTTTGAAAACACGTTTTTCTTTAAACTATTTATTCAGACCAGCAAGGGATTGATGTGAGCGGTTTATAAAAAACAGGGATGCATTGCACTACATGTGTGTCTTATAATTATGGTATTAGAGTATAATGAATGGTTGTAAGCAGTAATGAAATTGAAAGTTAAATTTGTTGTCTAAATATTATAATTGATGGTATGTGATGCATAATTATTCTTAGTACGTATTCAATCGAATCTTTTGATAACACAGCGAAAGAAAAAAGATCTAGGAATTAATTTTTTTTTGCGTATGGTGTTTAATGTGACTTTATATTTTGTGAACTCTTGTCTAAATCAATTAGTTCGTCTTGTCCATAAAGAGTTATTCCTATGATAAATTTTGTTTCTAACGGAACTCTTTGAAACTTAATTCGCCCATTTCAAACTTGTGACATATATATAGCTTATTCATGACAAAGTTTCGAATATTGATCGTTCTAAATATAATAAATTTCACGATTTGCAACATAGTTCGATGATTCTATTTTGGAATGTCTATTACGATATTTTCTACTTATTTGAAGCATTGTCAAAGACATAACCATTAGGTGATCTAAAACAAATAAAAGTGTCAATATCTCTCCGATATTTCATTCAAATCCGATAGTTTTCAACTAAATATTTTTCTGATAAGATTTCGCTTACAATTCTCTACAAGACTGTAAACAAATCGAAATCATACAAATAAAAGCAAATAAAATTATTCAAGTAATATTTTCGAATATGCAATATGACCAACGTTCAAAATACTACAACAGTTTCAAAGTACCAGATACGATTCAATCATCTAGACTTCATGCGTTGGAATGAAAGAAAAAAATATTTAAAGTGAAAATATTGTCAGAGGAACTTGTCTTTCGATAACAAGATGAATCGAACATAGTGAAATTTTTCGCTTGAGCGTAGGTCTCACTTGCTTATGGTAGATGATGAATCTCTTCAAGCTGCTTGCGATTGTCATTCATTTTTTATCGACTTGACCTCGTCTGTCTGTCTATTTTTGTTATGTATAAAAATATTATGATGATAATAGAATGGAACTAGAAGACTATTTTCCTAAAAAGACAGAGTAGTCATGTATACCGAAACGACATAATTTTGTAAAATATTTGATGATTGAATATCGTATTTGTTTGCCAAAAAAACACAAATCTAAAAACATTTGTTTTTTGAACAAAAACGTTTTGGATAAAGTTGATGAACTAGTTGAAGAGAACATATCAAGTCTTATCAAATAATGACGAAATAAATTAAAATTAGGAAATAATGCGAAATACTCAGCGAGTTATGTAAGATATTAATAATATTCGATTAGAAAGTGCGAACAGCAACTTAGAGAAACAGATAAATAAACTAAACAAATGAATGAATAAGATAATTACAATCTATAGTTAGTTATTATTGTGTCCAGTGAAAATGATTCAAAAAAGGCTTTACTCATATTCGACTCAAACAGATGCTTCACTGTTTATTTTCATAACTATTTTTCCTGCTCATAAAAACGAATTTTTCTATCGACAAGTCAGAAAAAGCATGAGGCAAAAATGTTTTGTCCATTTTAATCGACTTGTCTAGCCTATGATAAGTTCAAAACTCAGAATGTGTTTGTTCGTTTCAAGTAGGCAATTTCAATTACTTGCTTAGATTTCTGCTTCATTGTATTCTGCAGTATAACTCAATAGCTTTTGAACAGAAACGAAATTCTAAAGTAGAGACTACTTCTTAGCTTAATAATATGAACATCTCAAAAACATGAAAAATTACGTTGCGAAATATGTTTTCTGAAAGTTTAACAAAAGAGTAATACTTGTGTTTGATGCTAGACACTTTTTTTGTTAAAAATTCTTGAACATGCTAAAACGGTAGAACCTCAAAAGTTCTACGAAAAAGGAATTTTTTGATTGGTCAATAGAGTAGGACAAGTGGATATATAAATGTAAAGATACTGTATTTTATGATTTGTAAATAATTGATATTTGCATTTTTTTTTGCAGTATTTTCTCAATAGTTTTTGTTTTTGCACTAATGATATCCCATTCAACCAGTATTGTAGAGAATTACAGGATGAGTCTTTTTTCTCACTGTAAAAATAGTTACACCAAAAATATTAAAACTAAAAATATAAATTTCTAATTTTATTTTTTTCTTGTACAATAAATCTAAATATAAAATTTCGTATATTTTTCAACTTTCATTGAATCAAAATAGTAACAGATATCTATTGATAATCTTCAAAAACGAAATCAGATAACATTCTTTTATATTCATTTGAAGCAAAAAATTGAAAAAGAAAAAGAAAGTGATAGATGAAATCAAACTTTCGTAGATTGATGAGAAAGATTGTTCAAAGTTCAGAAATTCAATCATTTTGCTACCGATATTGCTCAATTATTAACTATGTTGTCAAACTCAACATTGATATCTTTTGTTCATATGATTATCTTAATAAGCTATGCATAGATAATCTATTATGGGAAAATCTCTTCTCTTTGACATCATCAATTAAATGAAAGCATACTATATACACATATAAATGAATGATAATAATCATTAAGTTTTAGGGATTGTTTCAAAAATTTCTTCCAGATTTCATTTAAAAAAATAGAACATACTGATATATTGTTTCAACATTATATCATGAATAATGAGTTTATTTATGTTCATTTTAACATTAATATAAAACAAGCTCAATTGATTTTGCGTAGATACAACTTTTAAACAACTTCATATAGTATGTAGTACAAAAGTATTGCTCAAATTTTGCAATTTAATTTTCAATAAAAGATCATTTAATTTAATTTTTCATATGAAAGAATAATATTTAATATACCCAAAGGGTTTACTGACATTTTTTTTTCAAGATCGAATTCAAGTCAAAAGTGCTGAAAAATAATCTTGAAATACATATCTACCACAAAGTTTCTTTTAAATATATTGAAAACATAGCATGAATCACTTCAACAAATAATCAATTGTTAAACTATTTTCTTCTTCGTATTTCAAATTGATCTGACTTTTCGTTTTTTTTTTCAAAGATAAAAAAATCACTACAGTTTCGAATATTATCATGCATATCTTTTAAAATAATTTCAAAAGTTTTCTTTATCCCAACTGTGATTTCAACAAACGGTGCTAATTACTATTTTATTTCTTTTTCAATTAGAAACTCAGATTGTTTTATAATAGTAAAAACACTCGCATAATATTTAATTGGTTACAGAAAAGAATTGATTAGAAAAAAATATTTTTTCGGTTTCGACAATGATTGGTTATCATGGACCAATCACCCCTGCTTTCTTCTTTTTTACTCTCTTCCTTTTTTTTTCTATGCAATCAATAATGAAGATAATAATGATGTTGACGCTCGAATGATTTGTGAGAGAAAGGTGAGACCGAATGATATGACAAGCGTCAAACGAATGAAACATGAAACAAACCTAACATATACAAACGTATATGAAGATTGCATCTATCGAATAGTGTCATCGGCGACACAGGAGAAAATTAAAAATGAGCAAGAAGGAAAGACGATGTGTGTATTCTTCTCTATCATTTAGTTAGATAAATTGTCTTTTTCTTTATGTCTATTGATGATGATGTTTAATACGCGTGAAACTCACATTTCGCACTTTATATATGAAAAAGGCCGATCAGGACACAGTTTATTAACTATCGAATGAGACGACATTTCATTTTCAATTTTTTTTTTCTCTTGATCGTGTCTCATCATTATAAACGAGAGAAATAAATATCTATCGCCAATCCCCATCTTTTATAGATAGTAGTAACGGAGAAGCTGATTTAAGCGAGAGAAAGAGGCCGAAAAACGTGAAAAAACCGAGCAAATTATCCGTTGCCGCGTGCCTTAGCGTATCATCATCGTATATATTTTATATTAAAAGTTATGCTTTCAAATTCGACTATAACACCAACAATAAATCGAGTAACTAATTCGACATCAACATGGTCTCATCCACCTCCACCAATGATTTATCATCCACATCCACTCAGTTATGAAGGTATCTGTAGAAAAAAAATTTTCGTAACTTCAGAAATCTAATCAAGACTCTATGAACGCCTTAAACTTCAATTCTTACTCGCATCCTATTGGCGCTAAGACTTACCAAATTATTGGTTTTTGCCTTTTTTTGGGGGTTCATCACTTCTTAAAATTCACAAATTTTCAGTTTTAATAGTGACAAAATTTGAGAGTATAAAGTCATCATTAATTTGTAAGTGTATATTTAATGTTTTTAAAAGGACAAGGTCGTGTAAATCAATTGGGCGGTGTATTTATAAATGGTCGTCCATTACCCAATCATCTTCGTATGAAGATTATTGACATGGCTGCACAAGGTATTCGACCTTGTGTGATCAGTCGACAGGTACTAAAAAAAAATAGCTTTTTTATCTATTAATAATATCATTTATTTTTATTTGCTTGATAAAGTTACGTGTTTCTCATGGATGTGTTTCAAAAATCTTAGCACGTTATGCTGAAACAGGTTCGATTAAACCAGGTTCAATTGGTGGTTCGAAATCACGCGTTGTAACTGCTGATATTGAACAAAAAATTGATGAATATAAAAATGCTTATCCACATGGTACAATGTTTGTTTGGGAAATACGAGAAAGATTATTACGTGATGGAGTTTGTAAACCAACATCATTACCAAGTTTAAGTACTTTAACACGAATGTTACGTGATGCTGGTAGTAATGTTGATGAAAACAGTCAAACAGATGAACAATCATCAACAAATGTAGACGAACAAAATGAAAATTCAGCTGAAGATAAAAGTAATTGAAATTTTAGTTTTTTTTCTATATATATGTATATATAAGAAAATTTAAATAGATAGTGCTCGTAGTGGTAGTACAGACAAAAGAATTAATAATACTACGAAAGGTCGTCGATATCGTACAAGTTTTAGTCAAGATCAAATTGAACAATTGGAGCAAATTTTTCAACGAACACATTATCCTGATGTACAAACACGAGAAGAATTATCAAGACGAACTGGTCTTAGTGAAGCTCGAGTTCAGGTATTTATATACATATATGTATATGGATTAATCATAAAGTCAAATTTCTCAATTATAATCAATAGGTATGGTTTTCTAATCGTCGAGCTCGTTGGCGAAAAATTGCTTCTGCTCATCATCAACATCAACAACAACATCAGCATATACCAACGGCTCCTAGTCCATTAATGTTTCAGACTGGGTCTAGTGCAACAAGTAGTGTTAATATTCCGGGACAAGCAACTTCATCTTCTCGTCTTCATTTTACTCCTTTTTGTTTACCACCAATTGAAACACCATCATCAGCTACTGGTCAATTTTCATCATCATCATCATCATCATCGGGTTTTCATCCACCACATGAATGCAGTAGTAGTGCAAATGCAACAACTATTTTATTTGGTAATCAACAACAACAGCAACAGCCACATCCATCTTTTTATGCCCGGTATACTAATGGTTCGTTTCTATTAATAATATCATTCGTTAGAGTTATTGAAAATGATTCGTTCTGTTCTTTTTTCTTTTTCTTTGAATATTTAGATTATGAGCAAATTTATCGATCGACAGGAACCTTTCCGTATTCATCTACAAATTCGAATAATATTATGATGCATGGACAAGTATTACCACCACCTCCACCATCAGCTACACCTTCATCATCATCGTTTTATACACCGAACATATTTGATGTTCATAATGTTTATCTGTAAACTTTGTTAATTTTCTTTTACGACCCACTACAAATACATGATACCAGTAAAGAGACATTGTTTCGTTCTATCGTTATTTCTTTCATTGAAAGAAGTACCTGAAGTTTTAACAGATTGTCATGATTCATAATAAAATATGTTGATTGTATATGAAAATAATAGAAGGAATTTCTAGACACTACAGTTTTCATTGTGAACAATCTAGTAGAGATATTCCTTTTGATTGGCGCGATTCTTTTTTGTGATCAGATTCAGTTGAATACGTATAAGTGTGTGGGCGTGTGCTAGTGCAATTATTTATATTTATTCACATGACTACAGAAAGTAGGTCTTAAGTATCGGTTTTCATGTTGAATAAACAAGTCGACTCAGTCGATAACTGTTAGTATGGCAATAGTCCATTAGTGGTGTGACGGGAAGACCATTAGCTTGATCATCAATAATACAGAAATAGTGTCTGGCATATGTATGAAAACTCTAAAATTTAGCTCATGAGTGAGATGGTGTAAATAAGCATTAGTATCTAAAATAATTTGATGTAAATTAGTAATAATAGAATAGCTGACGAATAAACTATTCCAAATAATAAATCTTTTTCGGGTTTAAATTCTATGCATAAAGTAGACGTCAGTAATGTACGAAAAATGTTTAATGGACAAAAGTTCTTATATCTTCTTTTTATGGTTATTGCCATTTTGCTAGCATTTTAGCCAATGTCATGGAATTACCAACAAGTAGAATAATGATATTTGAACTGGAAATTTCGGTCCACAGATAGACTTACTTGAAAATAGAATGCTCTAAAAATTTTAGCTAAAAAATGTTACTTTTACAAGATACTGAAGTTTCAAAATAACGATAGATTCAAACACCTTTTGTAAGATACCCTATCAGGTGAATAATGGAAAAACGGTCATTAAAATGCATATGGATTCGTTTTTGACCTATTTTGATCATTTTATGATCGCCGAGTCTATTTATTAGCAGTATTAGGCTGATTCAAGTATATTTGTAGTCTCTAACAATTGTATGATTCCCTAGCTTTTTCTTACCTAACGTTCAAATTTCACACAACAGTCAAGAATACAGTTCAAAATTTGCGCTAAAAGTCGATGAAAACTTTTGATCGCCATGAAGTCAAGCTTAAGAGTAATCAGAACAGCTAGTTATTGCATGATGTTTAACAATTCATTGATAATTCTCAAATCAGGAAGAGCCTTACTCTTCATAATACCCGCTGCGTTCACAACTTTTTCCTTGAATATTGAATGCCTATAGTTGAAAATAGCATAATCTTTTTTTAAAGACAGTGAATTACGTTCTTGTCCATCAAATGCGCGATATGCCATGGAAAATAGACCTGGCACTGTTTTTTTTTCTAGTAGAAGTAGAACGAAAGTGATTTTAAAGTAACGAGGTACAATGAATTTTTCAAAACTTTAATGTAGATGAATGAGACGTCAAATTTTCTTTAGATTAGAGCGAAATCAAAACTTCGATCATATTCTTAGTCCACGCACATAAAATAAAATTTCTAATTTGAATGCAGTTAAATAGTTAGAGTTTGAAGATAAAATTTTCATTCTCCTATACGAGATATATTAAAATGGATAAAGCTAAATGTTATTATCTCCTATGCAAGTCCAGTCATGGTCATTATTATTATTATTATGGTATTTTTTTTATTACGTAGAAATAACCAGAAAAATCAGAATCGATATAGTTATTGTTTTGTTTGATGATAACTTGATGATGACATAGCATCATCAATCCATGACGCATCAATCTGATGATGTATAAATATTTATACAACACTTATTTTCTCAAATGATAATTTCTAAATGAAACATATACAATTTGTTTTACATGAATACTACTGATAATAACAAATGTTTGAGCATACCTATGACTACCTGTTCACATATTCAACTTTTTCCTAAGTTTTTCATTAAAAGAGTTTATTGTACTCTAGATCCTTCTGAAAAACATTTTTATATTGACTACTTAGCTAAGTACCACCTAATATGACGTCATGTTTCAGAATAGTATAATACAGCTTCATACAGTATCAAATTGATAAAATCAGCTATGACTAAGATATAGTGTTCTCTTCTTCTGTGATGCTTTCTTCGTAAGTAAAAAGGTTATTTCTTATTATTGAGTGGTTCACATTCTGTTTACTTGTCTATAGTTGCAGAAATATCTACGCTCAAATATAATATAGAAAATAGAGATTTTCAAAAAAATACATGAAAATGTAAGACGAACAGCAAATATGAACAGTTAAATTACCGATTTTTCGACACATTTTATGTATTCAGTCCTTTATACTGAACATGTATATTGTCTTGCAAGAGAGACCAGCATATATACATGAAGAGTGGTTGTACATGTATATGTTGACTAGTGTACGTACATCTATGTAAAATGATCAACTGACATACATGTCTGTGCTTACCTTTAATCTTATATATAGAAACTCATTCCCAGAGCTCACATTAATTTTTCAACCTAATTGCAGTTTCTATTTTCATTAAGCTACTCCCAAGTCTCACATTTGATAATTTCTTCAAATGATAGTCTCAGAGTAAGGTATATCAATTTAATGAATGAGTAATCAACATTTTTAGTCTTTTACATTTTTTTCAGTAAATGAAGTACAATATTCATAGTTTTTTTTTAGATTTAATTTTTATCTAGAAATAATTGTTTTTTTTTTAACATCGTTTTCACACATAGATTTATCAATATGTTTTTATGCACGTTGATTACTTCAACATTATCTATTCTTTTCTTTTCTGTTTTCTTCTTATGTAAATTATCTGAGTAGTTCATTCCTATTGGTCAATAATAGTCTTTGTCTTCAAACGAAGAACACAGATCGAAAAGGAAGAAATGGACAAATTCGAATCATTTGAAACGCAGCGCAGATGAGGTACCCGTAATATGTCAGTTGTTTCTTCACATAATACGCAATTCAAAATATTTTCATATTATAAAAGAAAAAATAGCAATAAGAAAACCATCCTGTAATTTTCAGCAATTTAGACGCTTGAGAATTTTTTTTTTGAATAAATTATTTGTGCCATTACTAGTGCAATACATCTCTTCTCTCATATCTCTGAGTTAAATGAACAACACTTCAAGTTTTTTCAATATATTCAGAGCAATATTGAGAATTAGATCTTATAATTAGATTTTCTGTTGACAAGTAATATCCAACACATCGGAATGTCACATAAGTTATAGTAGTTCGCTAGAAAACGAAAAAATCTATTTTTATTCTTTTTCTAATTAAACAGTGAGATATGTTTTAAGTAGGGAATAAACATATGAACAGTTATTACATAGAGGATACATTGAATAGAATACGTATGATATCTGTAATGTAAAGAAGAAAATAAACCAAAAGATGAGTTGAGCATCTAGAAAGCGTAGTATATAACTTAATCATCATTTCGCTGATGAAATATTTCAGGAGACTTCCTTCATTTTTTTAGGCAACTATTGTAATCCATTACTGACATTACGGTACACATGAGGTATTTTCACATTCTACGTTTGTTATGAACATAAGACCTAATGGACAATGTTGTTTCCATTAAATTGAAAAAACTACATAAATTATTCATTTATATCAGAATATGTTGAGCTTTATTATTTAAAGTATTTCCTAAAAATTTTCGTCATGTCTATCAAACACAGCTGTGTAACTTTTTTCGCCATAGTCTAGCTTCTTAATTCTGAAATAAGCTTTGCAGTTTTATTTAAATCATTTAATAATAGATAGATTCCAAGTAAAATAAAATTCACGCTTGTTTTTGTTTGTGTAGTAGCATTTGAGAAAGTTGAGAAAATCAATAGTTTAATGAATGCCGTAAAAATAATAGTAATTTCTATATTTTCAACATTTTTTTCTCTTAAGTCTACTAGATCACGTTTTTTGTCGTTTTCATTCAAAGATTTCCTTTAAAAATCTGCAGAACAGTGTATTTGATTTATCACTTAGAATTATTTTTATACTTCAGTGCACATCAGAAATATTTCGAAATCAAGTATATAATGTAAAATATCCTTTTTGCGAACATTTTTATTACCCATTTTGAGTAGTTCACTTCTGTTGTCTCGTCTAAGAACATTGAAAATATATAGTTTAGAACAGTTCATTAAGAGAAACTTCAAATGTAAAAAATGAATTCGAGTTATCACTTAGAACACATTTCTGCTGGAGTGATGATCGAATTAGATAGTTAAAACAGGTTATGAAAATAGTCAAAAAAGTAATATTTTATATCGTGCACTCGATCTCATTTGACATTTACTAGTCATGCCTGACAGTGACAATGACAAATATATATGAGTGAATTAAATTGTTCTTTAGATGAATCAATATAGTTTTCATCCAAACATTAACGTGATAAATATTGAGGAAACAGGATATATTGAAAATAGCAGATGTCATACTAAACACTCGTTAACTATAGATCCTAGCAAAATTCCAGTATTTTGAGATGAGCTTTCTTAGAGTCAAGCCAAGATTGCAGTATTAGTTTTATTACGTAAAGTATTTGAGGTAGTACCAAAGATATCTAGAGAATATATTGAACGAGATATGGAGCACGGAATCAGATGAAATGAGAGAAGATAAAACATGGTGAGGCAGAGAAAAATATGATACAGTGACATAAAAATATCTTCAAATTGACATAATTATAACGACACGAAATGGCCACAAAAATTGTGCGCGTTGTTAGCATTATTTTGGTATTTTTTAAAATCATGTTAATAGATCACAAAGGAACCATTTTTGGGCATTATTTGTGACCGTTTTGCACCATTTTTTTATTACGATTTGAAGGCATTTCAATGTCATTTTACCATTTTTATCCCTGCCTGGGTATGAATGATTGCTGAAAGTAAAATATCTCGTGAAGATCACATTCTTGTCAGCTAAAATTTCCAGAGAATTTTAATTTTAAGTGAGTTTATTTGTGGCTAAAATGTCAGGTAGAAAGATCATTATTCTATTTGTTGGTATACATCCTGACATAGGCTGAAATTCAAGTAAAATGGTAATAACTCTAGAGGGAAAACATAAACGTACTTTTCATTTTGGTGTTTTCACACCTTACCGTAGTCTACTTTATGTACAGAGTCCGAACTTGGAAACGATTTATCACATGGGAACGATTCACTCGTGAATGTCGAATAACAGCAACAAATTAATAGTCGAAAACAATAAATTCATACATATGCAATGTTTTTTTTTAATAGCATTTTAAGTGACTTTATCTATTTGGTGAAACTGATTAATAATCATTGATCTCTTTTTAAATCATTGTCTTATGCACATTCGTTTGAAAGTATTTTATCTCATATACTTTGGAGTCTATAATTTTTTTTTCGGTTTTGCTTTTGTATTTGTGTTATTATTGTTATTTTCTATCTACAACAAATACACAGATTCATTGATGTACATCCAAAGTTCAAAACTATATTTAGCTATAAAGTTTTCAAACATGTAGTTGCTTAGAATTAAACAATAGAATTCATTTATGATAGACATAAAAGATCTTATTTATATGATATTATTCTTTAAAAAGTCTTGCTGAGTATGAATGTATGATTACATGTCCTAATGAGATTTCTAGTTAGTTTTTTGTGTGTAGTTTCTCTACTGATTAATACAATAGGCACTGTATGATACAAATTGTCATAATTCAAAAGCAACTAATTAGTTGGCAAAGTTTTCTTAAATAGAATTGGAAAAAACGGTTGATAAAAAGTACAAAAAATATTTCTGGATCGTGTTATACTATAATACGACCTGTCGTAAGTCGGAATATATAAGTAATGATTCATATCCTTAGTCAATATCAATATCTTCAAAATTACCATACGCAATCATTTCACCGAAGAAATGTCAATACTTTATCTACTCATTAGAAGATCGCGAACACATGTTATAACTGTGTTCTAGAACCACTAATACATTCTTTCAAAAAATTAGTTTCTTTTTGTTTTTAATGTTTAAATCAGAAAATTCAAAATCTATTTGCAGTATAGGACTTCACAAGTCTAAACTGCTATTACAGCTTTTCAAAAAAATTAGTACGTGTCAGAATAACATGTGTAGATAATAGTGTTCGGTGACGATGATTTTTCCCCTGTACTTCTTCGTCTTGTTTGCTGTAGGAGTCCGAAACGGGAACGATATTTAAAATGGACGTTCCCAAAAGTCTTTTTTTTAATGTAAATACTCGTGAAACTTTGCTCTTTCAAACAAAACAATGTCAAGGTCAACCCGATCTTAAATAGTCGAGAAATAGACTTTGACATTCTTCCAAATACTTTTGCATCACTTATTAATAAAAAAATCAAATGCCTATCACAAGTTCATTCATTATTCATGGTATTGAAATTCAATTATCACAATTATTATTTTCTTTGCAATTATCATCTTCGAAAGGACTCTTATTCAGATTATCTTGTCATATAGCATTATTATTATCTTTTCCTCTTGAATGTTTTCATTTTTCATCAGTGTTGTTAATGTACTAGTCTTTTCTCTTTTTAATTGTTCAATTGGTGCAGGAAATAATTCTCTTAATTTAAAGTTGATAAATTTCGATGTATAAATTAATATTGATCTATTTTATGCAGACATACTTCCATGATAATATTTCACACACACAAAATGAAATCATGATGAGAGTTCTTAAAGCACTATGAAAACGGGAATGACATTTTTTAAAGCGGGAACAGGAATCGAGAAAAGTCACTCCTACAGGACACGTGTAGGTGGTTTAAAAATATTGATCAACAGATTTTTCATTATCTATTCACTGGAAAATATCCAAGAAAAAATTATGATTATTTTTGATTAACAAAAGATCAATCAGATTTCTGCTGAAAGTCTGGTTTCTTTAAAAAAATCAAATTATAATTGATTGTAATTCAAGAATCATTTAAGGTATCTGATTGAGAAATTGTCAATGGGTTGTAATTNAAGATAAGAATTAGCAAGAATATAGAGAAAGACCAAGAATAATGTGAACCTGTGATGAAGTGATTTACTAAAGACACAATGAGGCCGAAGTTTAACAGTGAAGTAAAGATGTCTACGATGAATAGAGAGTTAATGAGGTATCTATCAGTGATAAACATAAGCGTGCAATCAACAGTGAATTATAATAATCAAAAAAAGGATTGTAACCGACAAGAAAACGACTAGTAGCCATCAAAATGTATTGAGGTTTGAGAAAATGTGTAGCCAAAAATAGCAATCCCAAATATTGTGATCTTTTTGAGTGCAAAATTTCAGATCAAAATTCAAACATTACATTTTTTATGGTGTATGTCAATATACACCAAAAGCTAGTAAAGTAAATATAACTCGAGAACAAAGATCCAACGATACAATCCATTATAGACTTAGTTTGGTCTTGACAGATTCGATATAATGAATTAAAATTCACCTTAAAAGTTTTCTTTCGTGCGGAAAAATTCTCTCTTACAGTCATCTGTTCATGAATAATGCCGGGAAATCAAAATTTTATTTCATTGATTTTAAAGTTTTTATTTATTATCGGTTTACAATACATTTTCATAGATTTTTAATAATTTTAATCAGACGAACTTCGTACTCTGTAACTGAGATGATGAATAGAACTCTCAATTAACAGAAAAATGTCCTTGCAGAAAATGTAAAATAATATCTTGATATATAGTATAGTTGAACAACGCACTCTTTATAATGTGTTTCTTTTAAAATATTTTATTCATAAAAAAGTCACTTTCTAATATAAACAATGTCAACAAATGAAACATATGGTATCGCGAATTATTCATTGAGATATTCAATTAAGTTCGCTGTCTTACTTTCACTCGAAATTCCATCAATTCTGCTCTCACTCACAATCTTTATTTATTTTGGTTACAATCGTAATGTTCTCATGAAAGATCATAATCATTCTATATTTATTTTACTTTTAATCAATTTTTTTCAAGTCATTTCTGATCTTCCTATGCCAATGAGTTTCTTTCATTTGAATGGCATTGTTCAACCAGCTACATCAACTTATTGTATTTGGTGGACATGGTATGAATTTTCCTTAAATACTACTAATGGTTTTCTCATGGCTTGGATATCTATTGAAAGACATCTATTAATATTTCATCGTACTTTTATTCGAAATATAGGTATTTGGAAACGACAATTACTTCGAATAGTTCCTTTAGTGTTCTGTTGTATTTGGGGACCATTGTATTATACTGCTACTATAATTATTAGTCCTATGTGTACAAATACAAGATATTTTGATAGTCTTTTATGTGGTATGCCATGCTATTTATTAACTAACTGGGGTACATTCGATCTTTTTTTTGATGTGATCTTTCCTGTATTAACTATTTTCATTTTTAATCTTGCTCTTTTCATACGTGTTATTCAACAAAAATTGATCGCCATTGGTCGTATTCAGAATAATTGGCGACATCAAAGAAAAATGGCTTTTCAATTAGGAATAATTTCTTTTGTTTATCTTGCTGTATGGATTCCATTATCGATTGCTCAACTTGGACAAATCTATATCGATTCAAATTTTCTTCTTGCACAATCAGATACTTTTAATTTTCTTGTTTACATTGTACCTCTTGTTTTACCTATGGTTTGTCTTATGTCAATGCCTGAACTTATTAAAAAATTGAAAACTCTCATATTCAGACAACATCACGCAGTTATAATGCCTTTGAATAATCAATCAGTCCAACAGAAAAACAAAATTTTTCCATCAAGAATAATTGCAGGGACACAATTTTGATTTTTCTCATTCCTAGCTTAAGACTTGACTTGACTCTGATTAAATGATTTCAAATTAAACAATAAATATATATTAGCATAAAGCAGTTCTTATTCCAATCGATGTTTTATATTCAAATATACATTTTGAATATTCGTATAGAAGAAAACGGCTTATAACAGAAATTATTTACATTATGATATTTTGTTGATTATTCATGAAAACAAAAACATTTTCTTGAACACTAAGTATCAGATGAAAACTATTGTTGATCGTAATTCTATAAAATAAAAAAATTAATAAAAAAAAATATATGAAACAAAACTTATTAATACTTGATTATTATTATGTATTTGTTCTTGCAAATTGTGGAGTCTTTAAGAAAAATTGAGTTTAAATAAACTTAAAACCAAAGAACAGAAATTTGAATTTTACCTTCGTTCAATATTTTGTAATGCAACTTCAATCTGATCTTTCTTTCCATGCTTCAACGTATAACTCCAATAATCATCAGCTATTGCACTTTCACGTTGCATTGCATCACTAACTATCATTTACCAAGGAAATAAGAAAAAAAGTCTGTCTATTTATCTAAACTACAGTAAACACTTTTACTTTTAAATTCTTCTCGAACATTTTTTTCATTTAAAGCCATTGAATCGTTTGCTGACCTTTCAATAGCAACTATAAAATTAAGAAAAGAAAAATCATGGTTTATGAATCAATTATATAAAATTACCATGTCGATGCTTTTGACGAGATTGTTGAATTTTTTCGACTATATATTGAATAATACTATATAGGTAATATAGAGTATTAAATGGTGGTGGTAAGGGAGGTTTATTATTATATTCAACAACAAGTAGAAAACGTTGATAACGCCATATTCGATGAGATTGTTTTTCAACTTTTTGGATTGTAACACTGAAAATAAAAGGAAAATAAATTTATATTTATTAGTCAATTTTTCTTCATACTTAAATAAAGCAACAAGTACATTTAGAAGAAGTACATTAGCAATAGCAACGAATAGTATCGCCAATACAAAAGCTACAACATAATATGCATCTGTGCCATCTAAAAAAAGGAAAAAGAACAAATATGATAATAAAAAATTTCAATTATAATTATCATTACCAATTGAATCAACTTGTCCAAAAACTTTCCAAACACCATAATTTGTAACATTTCGTAATATTTGCCATGTCCATAAACCACTTCCCTCACCTGCCACTGTTGCATTAATTAATGATCCATCACTACCATAATACCAAGACACTTGATTATCTGTAGTAATTAATGACCATGATGTTATTGAAAATGCTAATAAGAATATAAGAATAAAACAAACAAAAAATAGCAGATCTTTCATCTATTAATAAAAAACATACAAATCAAAATATTGCTTAAATTAAAACAAAATATCAATCTCTAACCGTATTAAAAATCATAATTAATTTCGGTCCTAATTTTTCAAAAGCTGAAAATAGATGTAACGTACGAACAAACCAAAATATGAAATCAAGACCTAAAAATATTCTAAAAATAATTTCAAAATAAATAGATATTATAATACAAAAGAAAATAAATTATCAACAAAAAAATTTACTTTGATGTAACAAAAAGTGATTCAAGAACAATAAATCGTGTAATAAAAGCAACCACATATATAATAATTGCAAGAATATCAATAATATTCCATATTTCTGAAAAATACTCTCTTTTATAATTCACAAAGAAAAACTAAAAATGATAAATGATTTCACTCATTAATAAAATATAAATGAACATTACTTGACGAATTTCTTCTACAGTTAAACTCCATATACAAATATGAAGGATTATTTCTGTTGCTGGAAGTTTTAAATTTTGAAAACCAGATCGACGTTCACCATAGATATTTAATGGAAAATAATCAACAAGAAGAACAAAACTGAATAAAGCCAAAAATATAATAAAGAATATCTGATCCAAAATACAAAAAAATAAAAAATAAATACGAACATCTTTTTAAAAAATAAAATTATTCTTTACCGTATAATAATAAAATCGTACAATAGGTGCTTGATAGAAATAACTTATTTTATCTGACCATGGAACATTATTTTTTCTTTTATGTTGAACAGGTCTTATCAAATATGAATAAAAACTAAGAATTAGATAATTATTAGTTTTCTTACTTAACATCTTCATGCATCATAGTCGTTTGACTACTTCTTGAACGATCTCGAGTACTTGAAATAATCTTTTAATACAATATTCAATGTATTCATAAATTATTTTTAAAAAACTTTTACTAACATTTTTATGTTTTTGTACATAAGGTAGAAAGATACAAAATATTGGAATTAAAGGAAAAAATAATGAGCAAAGAAAAATCTAAAAAGTAAAATCTATTTTATGCTTCATTTTTGTTCAATATTTACTCTGAAGTTAATAGCTTTTCGTTTGTAATTGATATATCCAAACCTATAAATTTAATTCTTTTTTGTGATTTGCTTTACAAAATAAAAAAACCAAAAGACTGTTACCATTTATTATCAAGATATCTTTGAACACATTTTGATGCAAGAAATGATCTACAATCAGCTTTTCGAGCTAACAATAATGGATCAATATGATTAAATGCAACAGCAGAATGTTTTAGAAGATCAACAGCAAAATTTTCATCATTATCCAAACATCGATCAATAATTGACATGGCATGAATATCAAATTGACTAAAGCGAAACAAAAATAATAATAAATATGATAATCGATAACACATATTCAAATTACTCGGCATTTTCTTCATATTGTTGTTGTATATCTAAATCAGCTGTTAATCTTGCTGCACGACGATAGATATGTGCACCAAATAATGGTGCTATTGATGGATTCTATGAAGAATATCTTATCATATAATGAAACATATTGTATTGATACTCAAGAATATTGACTATATAGAGATCAAATGATCATTCTCACTGCTAAACTAACAAATTTGAAACATGAGTTGATCAGGGTAAGCTTCGGACAAGATATTTGATTCTTAAGGTTGTTCATAGTTTTGGTATAGGAACGTGTTAGTATGAAAACTACTCACATTCATCTTTTTACAACTATCATCAGGTTTTGCAGGTAGTGCGTTTTTCGAGTTTGACTGAAGTTTAACGTACATCTTAGAGTCGATTTCTTCGAAAAGTTTACTAATTTCGAACCGGAAAAAATATTGGCAAACATTTACCGAAATCTGTAAGTTATCATTGCATTCAATCTGATTTCAAATGGAAACAATAGGCTGTATAAAATAATATTTCACAACATTTATTATATTAGCTCAGAAGCAAACACTCTAGTTGTGTGGTTAGTGTAAAATTATCTTTGTTATCATCAGTTGATTGAAGATCTTCATCATTATTCGTAGTAAATGTATTGAAATATCATTTGATAAGGGCTATTACTTTCATATGGAATAGAATCAAACTAAAAGTATTGATACCTTACAGATTTTGCTAAACGATTACTGATGTTTTCTCCAGTACGGCATTCCTAAACTTTTTGAACAAGCTGGATCTAGACTGACTCTAATATGATTAATAAATTTCAGCAAGACTTTGAAAACCGAGAGAGAAACAGTAAATTTTAACACTGCAAAAACTGCTGAAGTTTTCATAAGATTTCACGAAAACTTATAGATTTAATGAGATTTCAAGACTCAAATATCTTCTGCTTCTCCCTGACTGAGAACACATTGTCTGAAAAGCCGAATGATTCTAGTATGATCATCTTCCGATGCCAAAACTGTGAATATCCGAACAGTAGAATATGTCATTCGAAGTTCGTCATGGGCAGTTCATATTTTCAATCAGTTAGTTCGACATTGAAAGTAATTATTTGATCTGAATATTTCTTGAGTCTCAGTACAATCGATTCTATTATAAGACTTATTTTATTATTTATATGTTACCCAAGTTTTCGAACAAAGATATGTTGCAAGTTCAAATCGATCAAGAAAAACAGCCCATAAAAATAATTCTTGTGGAGCACTTTTGCCTAATGGTTGATTACCTTTTGATTCTAACAAACTTTTGTTTTTGTTTACATCATACTACAATAATATTTCATAGGAAATTATCAATAGATTACTTTTGTTCATACTTTGATTGAATGAAGATAATCTAAATAAAATTCTTCTCTTGTCCATATAGCAGGCTTTCTGTTATCTTTAAGTGGTAATCGATTACTAATCTAATACAAAAAGAAAACAACCTTTGTAAAATGAATTGACTTTTGCTGTTTAAATCAACAAACCGATGTTGTTTTATAAAGCTGTTCAAGATCTTCAGTTGTTAATTTTTCAAGTGATATACCAAACTCAATAAATAATTCAACAAAATCAACATGACCACGATCAAGTGCATCGACAAGAGCACGACGAAGATCGTCTTCCTTTTATTTATTACAAAAATAAAATCACAATAAAGAAACAAAAAACAACAACATACTTTCCATTTAGATATAGTCGTATCAGTAAGAAGATGTTTATGAGCATAATCAAATTTATGCCAGGCCTAAAGAAATATAAAACAAAAAATCTTATTTAATTGATGGTTTTTTTAAAATTACTATAGCTAATTTAAGTTCCGTTGTTCGACGATTTTGTTCATTATAATCACCGGAAAATTTTGCAGCTATAAATAAATAAAAATGTTTTTAAAGAAATTCTTAAATGAAGAATATTTACCATTAAATAATGATCCTAGAATAGCATCTTCAAGATTTCCACGATATCGTTTACTATCAAATTTAAAAATTGTTACAAGTTGTTTACGTTCATTTAATATTCGACATAAATCATTCTCAACTTTATCAAGTCCTGCAATATCAGCACGTGCTTTAACCAAACTTAATTAATCAATGGAGACAATTATTATATAAAAATTTGTATCGTAGTAAAACTTACATTGCATTTATATCTGTGTCTTTTGAACCACCTTTAGCAAAACCAGTTTGTGGTCGTGCAAGATGCCTACCACCACCACCACCACTCTCACTATCAGAATAATAAGCATGTAATTCAGCAACAAGATCAGCAGCACGACCTGAATCCTTCAAAAATCAATCCGAATATTCTTTGTTTTTTAGATTATTCAATTTTTTTTCTATACTTTGATAACTACAAGTGGGGTATTCGATTCAAGTGCTTGACAAATTGTTCGAATCGATGATGGACCACCTTCAACCAAAACCATAACAATAGGTATAAGTGATTCTGCTGTTCCTTCTGCAGTGGTTTCCATATTGGTATTTCGAGAACACTTTTCAATGTCTGCTCGTAATCGAAGAACACTATCAGCCTTTGAATCTCCATCATCAAATAGCAAAAAATGTGTATGATTTGGTTCTAAATCACATCGTTTCTCTTGCTTTCCTTTAACAATATAATTTCGAACATTATATTGCTCATCAATATCCTAAATTTAATTTAAAAAACAAAAACATTTTTTTTCAAACAACTTCTTCGGCTAACCATGCGAATCGAATGCATTTCTTGATTTTGATGATGTTTCGTGAATGAACGTGTTCTTCTTGTAGTAATCGAATTAATAGAAATATTCGCACATTGATTAATTAGTTGGTCATTTCCTGCTGTATAACCCCAACTACCAATACCAATGCATGGTACATCACGTCCATGTTTTTTATTTTTATAACGATAATTATTAAGAGCTTCCCCAACTTCCTTAACGACACCAGCATTTGTTCCAGCTGTAATCAACCATGCATCTATCCAATTAAAACTCTAATTATTAATTAGTTATAGTAAAATCAATAAACATTACTTGTTGTAATAGCAGCAGAAACTAAACCACTTTGAAAAATTTTTCTAAGACGTGCTGACATATCAAAACTTTTTGCTCCACCAGTTACAGATATAATTAAGTCAGGTTTTGGTAAACGCCAACCTTGTTGCATAAATTTCACAACTGTTTCAGCAGTTGTCTCAAGACTTAATCGTATATGTTCTGAAAGACGTGAAGTAGCATCAAGTTTATTTTCATCGAATTTTATAAAACCATAGTCTTTAGTTATTTCATATGGCCTAAGAGAAGAAAAAACAATAGAACATTTATTTTTGTGAATTAAAAAATAAATGTAAACATACGGATCATTTTGAAAAATTTTCAAGTTTTCTACTGCCTAAAATATTATTAAAAAAGATCACATTATGTTTTCATTATCTCTTGTCAGCCAATTACCTTTTGAACATTCAGTAGCTGTTGAACGATTTTATCAGTCATTCTTTAATTGTGCTTTATCGAGTCATGCAGAATGTTTTTTCTTTCAATCGCTGAAAAACAAAAAAAAATTGAAAATAAAAGAAGAAAGGTAAATACGTAGAGAAGATTGACATAAAGAAATGATGTTGCCATCATTGTGTATTATATTAAAAATAATTCTTTTTTCTTTTACAAAAAAATCTGAAAGAAAAGAACATAGTTGTTTGCCATTCGATGTCTTACATTATTCTCTTTTGCATGAAACGAAGTAAATATAATCATGCTGTTGTAGCAACCAGTTCGGTCGTCCCTTACACACATTGTCAAGTTTGAGTTTATCGTTCGATAAAATGTCCTTTTACGCATTTTTTTCGTTAGTGTTGAAACAAAACAGAAAAAAAATTCACGAGTTTTTTTATTTTTTCTCTATTTGACAAAACATTAGTGTAATAATAGATATTTAAACCAAAGGAATAGATTGAATTTGTTTCTTATGTAATTATGTTCATTCGATTATTTTACACAAAAAATTTATTCACCTTTCAATAAGAATTTTTTTTATTATCAATTCATTTTATTCTTCTTAATTAATATCAATATGTATATAATAGCGTAATTATTATTAATTTTTAATAATCATGGTATGTTATTAATAGTTCGTTCAACTTTTTTCTTTATCCTTTTTAATTAATAAAATAGATAGAATTTAAGATGTGTTGCTGCTGTGAAATCCTTTGCTAACTGAATATTAATATTAACAAATATTGACTAATATACAGAGGTACAACTCAGCACTGGATGCGGGGTAGAAATCGTTGGGTCTGAATCCGTGTCCCAAAAACGTTTCATAAATCGAGCTTGAAAATTTTGGATTCGACGAGTTCTAATACAGGAGAGCTAGTAGTTGAGTTCCAGACAAAAGAGGCACTACATGGGCAATTTTTTTAACCTGCTGGTATAGATCATGATGATCTCCTAGAAGAAATTCAGATACTATAATACAAGAATATTGAATAATGAGAGAGAGAGAGAGAAAGACTCTTTTCTTCTCATGATAAAATAATTTTATAAACGAAATCATAAAAAAGAAGAACATAATTGTGCTATATGTGCGTGTCTGTTTTTATATCATTATTGATCACTCGTTTCAAAAACAGAATAAGAAGAATGGACGTTTTAAAAATATATTAAGGATATGAAAAATTATCAAAATACAATTTTATCAGCGTGTCATAGTAAATTTCGATGCTTCATGATAGCTGTGGGTGTATGATCATTTCTCTATAGTATAAAACATCAGTCGTTCTAGATGTTTTTCAAAGTCACTATGGTTCGTAGGAATACTCAATGGAATACAGAAACGACTAGACATTTAAGTCTTTTAAATGCTTCAAGAGGCTTGGAGAAAATCTTGAATTTTAGAGTTTCTTTTTCTCTTTATATTTTGTTTTTCTTTTATTAAAAAACAAACAAATTAAGTGTGAAGTATATTAAAAAAAAACTACAATATAAAATTCTTATTTTGTCTGTCCTTCAATTTATTTCAACAAATCACTTAAAAAGATATCGAATATGTGTGGCACATGCATGCTTCATCTCAATCAGAGATGTCCATCACGACTGAGAACCTGCCACTGCCGCGATGGTTTTCAAAAAATCTTTCGAAAGTCCCTGTTATCGGAGAACGGAGCTAATACTATTGGTATTAACCGATGAGATTTATCTTATCTCTGAGTGTTGCACTTCTGAACACCTAAATTCTGTACAAATTCATGAAATTTTGTCAATGTCTTCTAAGAGGAGTCTGCTGCGCCGCTACCCGCCACTGCGGCAGTGGCAGCGGCAGCGCCGCGATGAACATCTCTGATTTGAATCGGTAGCTAACAAAAATAAAAATAAAAAAAAGAAAGAAACATTCTTCGGCTCACAAAAACTCGATGTTTATTAGTTACATTTTGCTAATCAGTTAAATTATCGATTATTTCAATAATATCAATCGTTAATTTTCCATCAGAATCTAATTAAATATGAGAAAACTAACGTTTAAAAACTAACAAAAATATAAAGACTTAATTATTCAATATATAATTTTAATACCGTTTTTCATGACGTATAATACTATGCAGTCGTACTAGGAAGAAAATAGCTTACATTAAGTGGACATGTTAAGAAATTCTTCTTTTAAATTTCATTATCTAATAAAAACAAAATTGATAATACCATGAATCATGTAATTGATTTTGAATCTTTTATATTATTAACACTATAGCTAGGTATAAAATAGGAAAAAACAAGAAAATTTTGCTTCTTTGAATAAAACATCATGTGTACTGAGAAGAAGCATATAAAATATTCCAGCAAATAGAATGACTAAGATGAATACTGCTATAGAATTATGAATTGTCACTTTCGATAAAGAGAAATACAAAAATAAATAATCAGCTAAAAAAAAGAACTAAATCCAATTACAAGTCATTATAAAGAACAAAAAAAAATTCAGTATTGATTTTTTTACATACTATATTGCAATTATCATAACAATTATCAAATAATAATGAATGCGATCGAACTCAGACACAAAGGGTTTACTACTTTTTTGACAAAATTTTTGAAATAGAATATTAATAAACAATAGAATTCCGACTCAAAATCTCTATCCAAGTCTGAGTTTTCTTTATAATTTCCATTAAAAGCTGCATTTCTATGAATAATTGGTATACTACGTAGTGCTGAGTAGGATGTAGTTATATCGAATTGCAGTTATTAGATTCTGTTCAATAAGATAGCCTTATTCTCAGCGAAAGAGTATAGTGCTGAGCAGTATAAATTTAGATTATACTATAATTATAACCTTCTGCCGATTACTACGCAGTGCACGAACTATGCATATAAATACGACTCTTATCAAGATCAATGAGGGAAAACTTAGAACCGAACCGAAAGTAGGTTAAAAAGTTAAGCCCAAGTTAAATTTGCTTCTGCTTTTAATATGACTTCGGACTCGGACAGAAAATTTCTTCGGATGAAACACCTGTAACCAGAGCAAAATCTCAGGCTGTTTTTTTTTATATGAACACCTGTATTAAATAGAGGTTATAAGACTAGAAAATACATACGAGTCTAAGGACTAATAGATGTTTTATTGGAAGAGCGACAAAGTTCAAATTGATAATTTCGATCGAAACCTTTGAGAATATTCTGACAATCATTCAATCAATATATAGGCTAAGCTTCAGATCACGCACCTATCATAATTGCGAAATCAAAACTATTGAATAGTTTTTCTTATTAACTTAAAAACTTTTTCAAAAATAAGCTTCAAGTGTAAAATCATTTATTCAATTCACTTCTCAACTGAATTTTATTTATTAAGGAAAAAAAGCAATTATTCAAAGATGATATTCTAGACCAATTGAATATAACTACTTACATATACGTATATTAGTTTAAACATTTTATTAGATATCAAAATAAATAAAAATCATCTTCTTTGATGAAATTAACTTCTGCAAAAGCTTTCTAAACAATATAAATTGTTCTATATCGTAACCATTTTCTAGCTCAGTGCATTCTTTTACTATCTGTTAATGTTATATTCAATAATTGTTCATTATCCTCGTAAATTTATTTAACTTAATATGATGTTAGTATTTTTAGATTATGAAGTTCTTAAAAGAGAATGTACGAAAAACAAAGTAAATCTTTCATCTAAAAATTAAAATCTATATATATAATGTTCAGTGTGTGTTTCTCTGTGTCGGGTTAAAGGTCAAAGGTCAAAGTTGAAAGGTTAAGAATTCTGGAATTTTCTAGAACGTTCGAAAATGTTGTGTACTTCTATAAGTTTTCAGAATGTTCTAGAACTTTCTGGAACATTCGCGAAGGGTTCTACGGTTGTGTAAGAAGTTGAGTTAAGGGTCAAAGGTCAGAAGTCAGATAAGGCTATAATGGGAAGGCTGTAAGGGCTGTGATATATACGGGCACTCATGGGTCCTCAAGGGCTACTATATGAAAGTACTCACAGGTCCTCTAGAGCCAATATATGGCGATACCCATAGGTCCTCAAAGGCTATCCTATGGGGGTATCTCTGGGTCCTCAAGGGCAATTCCATGCGAGTACCCGTAGGTCCTCAAGGGCAATTCCATGCGAGTACTCGTAGGTCCTCAAGGGCAATTCCATGCGAGTACCCGTAGGTCCTCAAGGGCTATTGTATTGTGGTACCCATATGTCCACAACGGCCACAAGGCTATAACGGAGTAGGGGATAAGCTAATAAGGATATAAGGGTAAAGAGGATCAGAGGCTAAGGCTACATGGGCATAAGGGATAGAGTTAAAAGAGTATAAGGAGATAAGGGTATATGGTATAAATGGATAAGGCTGGAAACGATATAAGGGATAAGGAAATAACGAAATTAGGCTATAAGGAGTACTACAACAAGAGTATGACTCTACAAGGGTATCAGGCTATACGATCTATATATATAGATAATGCGAACTGGGTTTTTGCCTATTACCCAATCAAAGCTAAAGGACAGATGTGTAACTTCACAGGAAAAACAGCAGCCGTGCAGTATGCACGGGCTCTCGCTAGTAAATAAATATAATCAGGCGAAATAATGCATTAAGAAAAACCGTATTGAATTTGAGAAGTAATCTTGTTCGTTATCTGTCATAAGCAAGAAATAAATAAAGTATTTTTATATAATATCCTAATTCTCATTTCCGTTGCTGTACAAATATTAAATTTATTTTGACGCTAAAAAATTCTTCTATAACTATAAATCTTATTATACAATCAATCAGATAAAGAGCAATAGAGATGACATCAATAAAATTTGATAATTTAGCCAAATATTCAATATACGAATATATTAAAAAAATTTACAAAAAAATTCCTCGAAGAAATCTATTGTCAATCATTTTCTTGATATAAGTCTCTGATAAATATCGCGAAATTTTGAAATTTAAAAGAGAGAAAGCTTTGGTAAAGAACTTATTGGCAATAAATCAGATCGTAAC